TATTATGGACACTCAGGCCATCAAGAGACTATAATATTGTTTAATTGTGATTGGTATGACACAAACCGAGGAATACGTGTCAATGTTGAACACGGAATTGTTGATGTCAATCCAAGGTTTAAACTTTCAACGGGGGAGCCATTTTGCCTTACTAGTCAAGCACAACAAGTTTATTATACTCCATATTCGGCAGCCACGGATAGAACTACCCGGGGATGGTTGGCAGCATGTAAAATCAAATCTAGACATCTAATTGAGACCTCATCTACCTCATCTTCAGAAGAGGTTGATGATATTTTCAAGATGATGACCCCTCCATAATGCAAGGCTCTTCATTAGTTATAGATTTAACTGCATACCAATCACTTCAACTATGTGCAGAAGGTGTTACAGAAGTTGAGGTTAATGCTAATACATCTGAAGAAGAGGAGGACTATGGAGAAGAAAAAGATTCAGAATCCTCAGGAAATAGTGATAATGTTGAGGATGGTGATGATGGCGATGATAGTGATGATTAATTGAAACATCTGTATTATTACTTATTAAATATATGTATTAAAATTTCTTTGTCTTACATATATTGTTTTATTAAGTTATATATTTTTCATTTAAAATAGAATCATTGTATGCTTGTTTTAAATTTGTTACTTATTATTTGTATAAATGTATTAATAACTATTTTGTTATTCATTTTTCAGGATGTTTGGAAATCCTGCAGGTTCAACAAGGAGGAGATCTTCCTCCTTAGGATCACAAGAGTAACACAATTTTAATCACCCACAGCTATTTACTAATAGTAGCGTAGCTCCAGATATACAGCAAACGATTGACCCAGTAATGAATTATAATTTTGCACCTGATCATGAGAACAAGGGCCCTTCATCCTCGACGGGGAAAAAAGGACGGAGTAGGAATTTCAAAGGAATACGCCCTACAGAAAATAGAGAGAGCAGGAAATGGGTTAAACTCACTGATGATAAGCTCCAGTTTGCTGATCCAAACATCCCTCGGGCTATCACTTCACTATGGAAGTCACGTTTTGATGGCCCATACTTCACATACGAGCGTGTCCCCCAGAGCAAGATTGCTTAAATTTATAATTGTTTCAAGGTAAGATTCAGTTTTAGCAAATTTAATAAAATGAATGGATTTAGCAATTTCTAATAAAAATAAATAATTTCATTACTAAACTAGAATTTACATTTCTCAGACATCTAATGTTATTTATTTCTTATTTTATAGACACTTTACCAGTGGGATCCTGCAGATAATCGCCATGTGCGAGATGCATTCCTAAATTGTATGAAACATAAATGGAGTGACAATCTCAGGGATGAGAAGTTGAAATGGGACAAGAACTTAGCCTATGTCCCATGTTGGATCCCAGCTCATATATGGCCTCAACTGCTGACATATTGGGACTTTGATGAATATAAGAGGCTCAGTGCAAGGGGAGCAAAGAATAGGAGCTCTGGGGAAAGGGTGACTCACACCACTGGGTCCGTTAGCTTTGGCATCCATGCGATGCAAATGGTAATCAAGCTTAATTAATAAAAAATTTAATATATTAGATTTTATTTAATATTAAATTGTGTCAATTTATACTAACCAATATATTGCATTATCATTATCAATATTTTGAAATATAGACTGAGTCTAGAGGTGGTGTGCAACCTCCCCATCAAGAGAAATTCAAGGAGACGCACACCTTCAGAAAAAAGGCAGGAAAAGATCAAGAGCCATCGTGGATCAATGAAAAAGCAAAGTATCAATATGTAAGTATATATAACATATAAATTAGCATAAAATGTATAGTTATAAGTATGAAAAAAATTTATGTAATTAATCTAAATTATTTAGCAAAGTCTACTTTTTTTTATAGATTCTTTTCAAACTACTTTTGACAACATTATTACTATTACTATTATTTTTTCAGGATACTTATGTTATGAAGTGCACATATAGTCATGGCTTTGATGCTAGTTCATGGCCACACATGGATAACGAGGCATGGGTTAAGGTTGTTGGAGGTTGCTCATCTAATTTCATGCCAGGGATTGGCTCCCAAGTAAATCCAGAGATGGTTGGTTTTACTTACAGAAAGAGACAACCTTGAGAAAACTTAATAGCAGCACTGATGGCGTCTGACTATGAGGAGACAAAGGCAAAAGATCATGAGGAGTTAGAAAGACAATGCCGACAAATTGCTTTGATGCAACAGCAGTTGGCCAATATGACAGCAACTCAGAATAATATGAGCCAGACAATCGCACAATCTACTGCAGCAGCTCTAGCCGCTCATGGCATCTCCCCTCAGGCAGGTCATCATCCAGTTGCCCCACCACAACCGTCACATGGTCCTGGCTCAAGTCTTCGCATGAATTCAGCTTTCACCTACTCCACTGATTCTACACAAACCTC